ACACACACACACACACACACACACACACACACACACACACACACACACACACACACACACACACACACACACTCACAAACTTATCTACTGCCACTGGTCTGTCCCCTTTCGAAGCCTCTTTAGGTTATAACCCTACTTTGTTCCCTGAGGTTGAAAGTGAGTGTGCTGTCACCTCTGTTCAGCATCTTATGCGCAGGTGTAAACATCTCTGGAAGCAGACCAAGGCAGCCCTGTTGAGAATAGCTGAACAGAACAAGAGAGTGGCTGACCGACATCGTTCCCCAAGTTATAAGGTTGGTCAAAAGGTCTGGCTCTCTACAAAAGACATCCAACTGAAGGACACACTGGGAAAGCTGGCTCCTCAGTTTATTGGACCTTTTCCAGTGGAACGCATAGTCAGCCCCTCAGCGGTACATCTCGCACTTCCTGCCTCTGTGTGCATTTACCCAACGTTCCATGTTTCTTAGATTAAACCTGTATCTGAGAGTCCTTTGAGCCCACCCACCAACCTCTCTCCACCAACCCGGATCATCGACAATCAGCCTGCATACACTATTAATCGTATCCTGGATGTCCGAAGACGTTGGGGGTCTACAGTATAATATTTGGTGGACTGGGAGGGTTACGGCCCTGAGGAATGCTCTTGGGTCCCTAGAGCTTCCATACTCGACTTTTCCTTAATTTCTGCCTTCTACAGGTCCCATCCAGAAAAGCGAGTCAGATTGCCTGGAGGTGATTGTAGAGGGAGGGTAACTGTGATGATCATGGCCTTCCTCTTGTCTTCCTGTTGCTGATCACCTCACCTGTTGGCAGTTTCCACTAACGAGCTCCTGGGCTTTATAAGATCCACCTAGACTCTTGGTCTTCGCTGATGCATCACACCATTTTGGTAGTGTTCTGAAGCCTTTTGAGTTTAAAGCTAAAGTTTAAATGTACTTACCTGTCATTTCAATCCTGTCTAAGGTACGTCCACCAGGATGTCTTCCACGCACCAGGATTGCTCAGTTTGGACTAATCCCCACAAGGACCTGCAACAAAGGATTTTGCTGGTTAAAGTTTTTGAGTTGGCCACTCTGCCTGAAGTTTTTGTCTCTCACCTTTGGATCAAGTTCCCTCCTGGACCGACTTCACCGCCTCCAACCTGTAAGAAAAGAAAGATTATTATTATTATTATTAATTCATATTGTCTCATTAAGAATCAGTCACTCCAGACTCACCTGGATTCTTCCCTTATTTTCAGGATTGATGACCCAAAACCTCACTGCACCTGTAAATATAATCACTTACTGTACCTTTTATTGCTTGTGTCCTGCGTATTCAGTTCCATTCTAAGTCTGACTTCTCAGTGTTTCTGTCATTCATGTTAAGATAATTACAAAACATTATTACAAAAGCCTTAATTGGTTTAAAAAAAGGTGGAAACAGTATTAATAAAAGGATAATCAATTTAACGTAGGTTTGTCAATTACTAATTCATATGTAGCATCCTATTGACCAAATTCATTCCAACTGCAAGACAAAGCATTTTCACTCATTTTGCATCCTAATGACAATATTTATGGTAGATTTGAACTTTGTAGCATATTCAAGTTTGAACTATTTTGTTAGGCAAAAGTGGTCTCAAGTACATCCCTCCCCCTCGCCCAAAAAATAAAATAAAATAAAATAAACAAATGTAGGAATTTCAACCCTATTTTGATAAGTATCTGTGACACAGCGATTGTTCCCAAGTCCTCTGTCAAAAATTGTGTTTTCTGGAAGTAATCCTTTTTTAAACTTACCCTTTGGAGAAAATGGATCCTTTAGTGAAGGAAATAGTGTTATGATTCCCAGGGCATACTTCTCCTTATGTTTACGTGAAGGCATCCTCCTTTAGGAAAAAATATTATTATATTTTTAAAATATTGTGCTTATTTCATCAAACCACAATAGATGTTATCTAATGATACTGCTCATACAAACAAGTAAAAAAAATTAAAACAATTGAAATATGCCCCGAGTGCTGAGGTAATTCAATGCAATGTATTTTGACAATGCAATTACAATCTTTCTTAATTTAATATTTACTGTTATGGCAATATTTATTTAACAACAGAGACAGAAATACGCTGGTCAAGAATGAAGGTACTCCGTGGGATGATCAGCTGAGTTTTATTGCAACAACAGGAAACACAGAGAACGTGGCCTGTCTCTGTGCCTCTCTGTCAGTCTCTCCACACTGCTCACTGTCTAACTCTGTTGAACACTGTGTCTCGAGAGGCCTCATATACAGCATTCTGTCATCTAACATCGTGTGAGAATGAACAACCAATCATAACCTGCCCCATCCTGATACACGGAAATAGGTCAACTTGATGCTGACGTCCGGAAGGATATCACAAGATATGAACAAGTGTTCATATCTTCAGGAACAGGAAMAAGTGGTCAGTGTCAAGGTGATACAGAAAATAAGTATTCCACAACATTTACAATCTAACAATTCACTTAAACCTCACCCATGTCGTTCAGTCATGACTAGCCAATATGTTGACAAGCTTTCTCCGGGTGCGGTGAGTGACTTTTCTGCATTGTAGTCTTCGATGACGTCTTCACCCCAGGTTTGCAAAGCAAGGCATTTTTTACCATCCGAGGGAAAAACAGTTTTCAGTTTATATATATATATGTATGTATGTATGTATGTATGTATGTATGTATGTATGTATGTGTGTGTGTGTGTGTGTGTGTGTGTGTGTGTATCCCCATAAAAGGGCAGTTCTTCCAGCATGTTCTTTGCACTTTCTGCTCTTGTGACTACATGACATGGTGTCAATGATCCTGCTTGAGATCTATCAACTGAGCCTTGGGTGCCTCTGCCTGGGATCAATTGTGAATCATAGTCTGACTGATTTATCAAGTCCAACCGAGTAGGGATATCATTACCAAGTATAACTGAATATGGCAAAGAGGGAACTACTGCTACTGGTAACAAAAAGGTTTGACAAGGGCCAGGCTAATCTACAACAAGCTGCATAAATGAAAGTTTTTTGTTTTCAAATTATGGAAACTAAAGAATTTCTCTGTTCAAACTGTCAATAAAGACAACCTTGTAGTGGTAAAGTGACTGTTGTTCAGTAACACTGTGTGTCGGCAGAAAACAGGCATCATCTCATCTCTCAGCAGCACCTCTCTATCCTTCTCATCACTCCCCCCATCACAGACTCAAAGCAAACTTGGACTCTCTCCATGTGGGGAAGATGGAATTGATCACGGAGACAAAAATTGATCAGCAGGATGCAAAAGTGTTTATTTTAGTTTATTAAAAATGGCCTGAGTAAGGGTATATCAGCTATCAAGATTCCTCTGGAGAGTAGATGAGGACAGCGGATCAGCAGAGCTGAATGCCTGTTGCTATCTTGAACATTTATCCACAAAAAAGGATTTTCAGATCACCAAACAAAAATAATTTCCACTTAAAAAGTAATTTTTCTGCCAAAAATGCCTGTGTAATCTTGACAACAAAACTACTCCTTGTGGGAAATTGTGATTTATTGCTGTCTTAGTACACCAGCAGCAGCAGAGTGCATGTGCTTTGCTGAGAATTTATAGAACTGTCACAGTTTGAAATGCATGAAAAAGATGTGACAGTAACTCAAGTCTTCTTTAAAGATTACTTTCATGTTGTGTTGGCTTTGAAAGATGGCACTCACAGTTCTGTTAGGATGATGCCCGCGGCTATTGGTACAAGCACATAGACACACACACACACGCACTCACACACGGGGCCTGGAGCATTTTCTTACGTTGCCAGAATGCAGCAGTTGTGCCCAGGAGCAAGAGAGCGGAAAAAAGAATCTTAGAATAAATGACAAGAAGAGAAAGGAGCCTTTAATTTGAAGTAATTCTAGGCTACTCCCCTTACATCCACCGCTGAAACTGGGGTATAGGTGTGTTTATATGGTAAACACATGTTGTAAGAATGGTGTGTGAGTCACAGCAGCACTCTACTCCAACTAAAACACCACATTTTTACACACACCAGTAAAAGACGGCTCCTTGTGTGTGTGAAAGACATGGCCTAGATTAGCAAGTGAGCAGTTTCCCGCACTGGGAATAAAATTAGGAATAAAAGGAGAAGGTTCTTTTCTGTTTCTCCTTCAGTCACACTTTTGTTTCTTCGATGTGTTTTTTTTCTGAGATCAAATCTGAATCTTTTCAGGACATACATTTTTGTCAATATCTTTCGAAGAAATCCCTTATTTTGTACAATGCTTTTTTTGTCTGCACTGCAACTTCAATGCTTTTTCTGGTTTTGTCTCAAAAAGTTAGATTTTTATTAATAACAAAGTGGCTAGAATAAAATGTCAGTGAATGGTCTTTAGAAGAAGTAATTCAATTAATCAAAACAGTGAAACTGGTAAGCAGTTCTAATGGCATTTCTTGGCCTGCAACAACACAAAAGAAGCTGTGACGCAGTAATTCATCAATGTTTTAATATACTTTCACTGTACAAAGCCAAAGGTTCATGAAAACATAAAAACATGACATGTCTGGAAAATTGCTTGAAGTCAACAGGGAAAAAAGTGATTTAAAAAAGACAAGAGGGGGTCCTGCTGCACAGATGTAGACCCTGCTGAGAAGCTGGCCCTTTCTATCAATAGGGGCAAAACCTTGATGGAAGGGGAAGAAGTGGGTGTGCTGTCAAACCTTGGCAGAAGTGACAGCTTCTCACAACAACAACAGAATGTGCATGATTACTGTTTGAACAGTAAACTGCCTTTCAAACTTAATGATATAATGCAGCAAATCTGACAGCAGGTAGTCAAATGTACATTTTTAATTACTGTTTTGATCGTTGCACACTGGTGATTTTTAGCCAAACGTACAGCAGACTCAAAGTTTTCTGACTGTGTGTTTGTGGCCATGTGTGTTCACAGCAGCATGCACCTTATTTTTAACTAGAAGCACTCGGAGAGTGCAAACCTCCCCCAAGACCTATTTCCCCCATCCTGCAATGGAGTATTTCGCAGATACCACCATCTTTGCCTAACGCAAAGCATCATGGTCCAGTTTGGGGGCAGATTTCTATTCTGTGTTCTAAGCTATAGACCTTCATGAAGCTCTAAAGCTCCCACTCCAAATATTTTCAACTTGCAAAGCCTCCCTGATGGGAAGAGAAATATCTCCAGTTTGAAAATAGAAGTCCAGTTATATATATAGCTTAAAAATATTAATTTATTTAATGCCTCTAACCTCATGAAAAGCTTCATCCCGGTATTGAGGACATTTATTTTATACTAGTATACAAGGTTTTTTAAAATTATTTAAGTAAAATATATTTTCATATTTTTAATTCTTAGTTTTTCAAAAAAAACTTTATTTATAAGGTTCTACTAATCTTATATAGCTGGGAAATATTTAAATAAGCACAAAGCTTGGGACTCAAGAGGATAAAACTGGTGGGGCACAGCCC